GCGCATGCGTGTGTGTGAGAGAGAGTGAAAGCTGTGCAGGCTGTTCAGCTGGGGCAGGCGGGGAAGTGACGTCCTGTGTTATTTGTCGTTCTAGAAAGAGCGGAGACGCGTACTCTAAAGAGGGCTGTGTCTTGTCCAGTGTGTATAATTATTTATAAATGAGCAACGGGGGAAGGAATTAAGTACAGAGAAGCTGTTTAGTATTTCTGTATTGGAGAGCGTGTTGATTTGTAGCAGTTCTGTTTGTTTCAGTTCCAAGTTTGATTTTTATTTTTCCTTCTCTAGTATCTCTACGTTGCTAAGACACTGGACGCTGCAGTCTTTATAGCAAGGAAAATCTGAATTCCTCCAACGCTCAGGATGGGGAAAGATTATTATTCTATCCTGGGAATTGAAAAAGGGGCTTCTGAAGAGGATATAAAAAAGGCTTACAGAAAACAAGCGCTTAAATGGCATCCCGATAAGAACAAATCTCCCCACGCAGAGGAAAAATTCAAAGAGATTGCAGAAGCTTATGAAGTGCTGAGTGATCCCAAAAAGAGAGACATTTACGATCAGTTTGGGGAGGAAGGTATGTATGTTTCTGCTGTACTCTAATCTGTCACTCTTATGTTTAGTGAAGCAAAATAAACATAGATGATGCATGAAAACTTGGTATGTGTTGATTTTTAGGACATGTATTTGTACTGCTTGGGAGTATTTTCTAATGTAAAATATGTTGTGTAGTTTTAATGTCTTATTGTAATGTCTTTTGTTTTTTAAAATCCCAAGTACTTGACAGGCAAAAAGTTACTGAATTGAAAAAGTTTGTATGACTCATAAATAGCTTTCTGGGATCTCTTACTGCTATCTTCCTTTGCCCTAGCACTTTTTTGAGGTGCAGTTGAAAAGAAATGTATTATTTTCTTAAATTTTTGCTAAAGGGCAGTCTGCTTGATCTAGGCAGGACAATCCTGAGCAGAAGCCCAGGTGCCCAGTCCATAGTTGTCCTTGGCGTCTTGCCTGGAGAGGAAAGAATTTGGCTGATGTCATGAAATACCAGAGCAATTTTTTAGCTTTAATTGTAAACAGTGATAACATGCCAAGAGAATGAGGCCTCAGAAATGTCATATTTATCCTAAAATGGTTATCTGAAGAGGATGACTTTTTATTTTTGACCAACATGGCTTTCAGTCTTATGATTGAGCAACAGAGGAAGTCATTAATGTCTGTCTCCTTAAATTTATGGTATCAGAAATTCCACATGAAATAATTATTTCCTTTATGACAAATAGGCCCACTCACTCATTGCCATTCACTCGGGGCCATGTTTTTGACTAATATGAAGGAGGACACTTAAATAGCAGTACTTCATGGAAAATTACAGGTTCTTATGAATACATAATAAAATCTAGTCCTCTGTCATCTGTAGGACTTAATACAGTTGTTAACTTCCATAAATTCACGTAGAAGACCTTCACTCTCTGCAGGGGATGCCATTTTTTTCATCTTTTGCTCCATTGCATGCTGTCAAAGCTTTAGTGCTGTTACTAAAACACTGTAGTAAAAAAGTATTTATGTAGATATCAGAGGCATTTGTTGCCTCTCGAGTCTTTTGCTTTCTTGCACGTCTTCCTTCTCACTCCCTGCCTCCTTTCTGTATATCCTTATAAACCTATTTACTCTGGATTTACTTGCATTTTAGAATCCTGTGCAGCAGCCTATCCTACCTGCTTTCCCAAAATAACATTTCAGTCACTTGTACCAAAGAGCATATAAGCAATGCAGCCTTTGGCATCCTGGTATTGCATATTGAAGACAGCATTTCAAAATGCAGATTTCTATTTATTTGGAACATAATATTAAACCAAAGTATGAATTTTTAGAATGGTGAATCTGGAAATACCTCTTGATGCCTCAGTTGCTCTCTAAGCTCTTCAGTTGCATCTGAGATAGCAACTAGTAGTTGTGAGGGAAAGGCAGGGGATGAGGTGGGAAGAAGGAGAAACCTCAATATTTTACAGCTGGGCACTTTATGTACCTTCAGTAACAAATCTGGGCTAGGTGTTCCCAGAGGTGTCCTACTGTTACAGATTGAGTCCACTGATCTGCTTGTTTGACATGAACAGTGCTGTGACAGGAGGATGTACTACATGTTGCTAAGTACTTTTAATATGGTCTGGTGTTGAGATAGGGAAAGCATTCTCATTCTAATGTCTTACTTGGTTACTGTTGATACCCTATATTAAGCTTATGCCTAGAAGCTCTAAAACAGAGCCAAAAAAACCAAACCAACCATCCTCTTTCAAATTTAGGCAATGCATGCTTCGTTAATGTAACCCTTCACATTTTTGTAGCACAGTTGTAGTGCTGAACTACCATAAGACTGAATAAAATAAAATAACTGAACATTGTAAGTTTAGAAATGTCTTAAGAAGACTTTCAATATTTTATCTTGGAAGTTTGAGAAGGTATCCTGAAATGGTCAGTGCAGGAGAGTACTATTATGAGGAAATGCTTGGCACCTATTGGGAAAGAAGCATTTAAGAAAATGTATTTTGAAAACCTTAATCAAGAAGAAATGAGATGTGGATCCCTCCTTGTGGAAGATAGAAGAGAAAGAAGCTATTTGAGAACAGTATGATTTTTTTGCAGGGAGAAAGGGACAGCATATACAAGGTTTTTGTACCCAAATAGGTCTTAGGATCTTCCAAGCTATTTCTGTATGTGACTGGATTGGAAAGTGTTGCCAAGTTTATCTACCTATTTTATATCATAGGAACACAAGCTGTGGTTAGGATTCTGAATTGAACATTAAGACTTGACTAGTGGCATGTTACCCTTACTTGAATTGCAGTGAAGGAGAGGCAGAGCTGAGTAACACTGAGTTAAAGCTGAGCTATGGAGACCGCAGAAAGCGTTGCTTATGTTACTGCATAATTTTCCCCAGAAATGATCTTGAGATACAACTCCCAACAGACTTTTCAGAACAAAAAAACCCAACAAAATCAAGTCAAGCAGACTTGTCTTCTGTTTTAAAATGCAAACTCTTTGAATAACTTCAATTAATGAAATAAAATTTGCAGTGTCAGAATTGTTCTTCTGAAGCAGAAGTCATTTTAGAGCTTCAGGAAACTTTGTTGGTGCTCAGGCTATTGAATTACTAGTTAGTGCTGCATAATCTGATGGGCATTCTTCATTGATAAGGAGATGTTTCACACTATGGCAAAAACCTTTTCTACACATCAGTTTGATATCATTATGCTCTACAATATGAAAGGTTACACCAATATTCCATTTGTTTTTAACTTTGCTTATTTGTGTTTCACATTATGACAAAAACCTTTTCTACACATCAGTTCTGATATCATTATGCTCTACAATATGAAAGGTTACACTAATATTCCATTTGTTTTTAACTTTGCTTATTTGTCTCATTTAGGTCTGAAAGGAGGAGCTGGAGGACCTGATGGACAGGGTGGCACCTTCCGGTACTCCTTCCATGGTGACCCACATGCTACGTTTGCAGCTTTCTTTGGTGGCACAAATCCTTTTGAGATCTTCTTTGGAAGGAGGATGCCTGGTGGCAGAGACACTGAAGACATGGAGGTGGATGGTGATCCGTTTGGATCCTTCACTAGTTTTAGTATGAATGGTTTTCCAAGGGAAAGGAATACAGTTGGTAGCCAGTTACGTCGTAAACAGGATCCCCCTGTAATCCATGAACTTAAGGTGTCATTGGAAGAGATCTATCATGGCTGCACAAAAAGGATGAGGATTTCACGTAAAAGGCTTAACCCAGATGGTAGAAGTGTCCGAACAGAGGACAAAATTCTTACTATTGAGATAAAAAGAGGATGGAAAGAAGGCACCAAAATCACTTTTCCAAAAGAAGGCGATGAAACACCCAACACAATTCCAGCTGATATTGTTTTTATCATTAAAGATAAACCTCACTCTCACTTCAAGAGGGACGGGTCAAATATTGTCTATCCTGTTAAGATCAGCTTAAGGGAGGTAAGTTTCTCTTTTGGTAGAACTCTACATGTTTAAACCTGTTATGATATGACACAATGGCTAGTCTGCACAAGTGGTATGACAAATGTAAAGTTTTGGCTGGTTTTTTTATTATTTATAGTGAAAGCATTAGCTCTTTTAATGTTAATGGAGTATTATTTCAAGCTGTTTACTGTAGAGGTAGAAGACAATGAGGGGGGAAGAGTAAGAATAAAGCTTGATATGATAAAGTCTTCATACTTCACCTTTCTAGCCAAGTATATATTAGACTGAAGTAACAAATGCATCAATATAAAATGCTCCTTACTGCTGTGATGACTGCTGCTTCTGTAGGACAAAGTAGAAATGTCAAATATTTCCACTGCCAACAAATTCGAAGTCTGCCTTTATGTCATAAGTTATTTCAGTGTGATTTCAAAGTACAGAGATAGATTTCATGGGGATAAGTTATTGTGAACAGGTGTTATAGGAGCTATATATATAGATCTATAAAAATGGTATAGCTTTTTGAAATTCCATTACGAGTTAAAACACATTGGCTTTCATAAGGGAAAAATCAGGAACACAACTGAGTAAAGCTCTTAAGGATCTGAAGCCTTGACGTGGTCATCATTTAAAAGATAATGTAGCTGAGTGTGTGTTGTGTTTTCCTCAATTAGCATTAGGTAGAGAAATAACTCTTGCTTTCATTATAAGCTCTTTGTGTACATTGTGAGTTCTCTTTGTAAAGGATTCTTAACTAAAAATACATCTGAAGTGAGGTGAAGCAGGTTGAGGGAGGGAGTAAAGACTATTTAATGCTCATGTGGGTAATAGAGTTCCTTCATAGATTAAAGTCTGTTTAGGCTCATTGCATTATGTAAAATGTACATTATCAAGACTGAGGGTGCTGAATCAGATGAAGCTGGAGGAATCAAAATGTTATTACCAGAGCTCTTAGTAAGGAAAGCGAACTAAGAAAGCAGGAGAAAGCCTGTGATGTTTTAGTTTTGGTGCACCAAAATAGTTGTTTGGTCGTCTTTGAGCATCACAAATGCTCACCTAAGATAGCTGTGAAATTTGGTACGCATCTACCTATAGAGGCTGAAATGGCGTTGTGTAATTTGATATAATGTAGGTTGGTAGTATATTGGAATAAACCCCTGTGCAATGTAAACAAACACCAAATGGAACAGAACTCTAAACTGCCAGTGGAAAGTGAAAAGCTGAGCATCACTTGAAGTATGAGTGAAGAGTTCACTCTCTACTCAACTACTTTGTTTGCTACAGTTTTTGGAGGATGTATGAACTCAATTATCCTTCAGGGGCCATTGCATAAAATTGGTAAATTCTGTGATATTCAATGACAAATTGAAGCCTTCCCTTTTTAAGAGAGGAACACTGTATTTGAGTTATGACATCTCAGTAGCACACAGTGTAAATACTGTTTAGAATACTCATCTTTTCTAAATAATCCAAATTCAGTTGTAGGTACAAATGAAGCTCTGACCATTTTTTTTCTCATGATACAATCTTTCTTCAGGCTTTGTGTGGCAGCTCTATCAATGTTCCAACGATAGAAGGAAGAACCATACCCATGACAGTAAATGAAGTTGTAAAGCCTGGGATGAGAAGAAGAATTATAGGATACGGTTTGCCGTTTCCCAAAAATCCTGACCAACGTGGAGACTTAATTATAGAATTTGAAGTAGTTTTCCCAGATAACATCTCTCCAGCATCAAAAGAAGTACTTAGGCGAAATCTTCCAGTTTCATAAAACGAAGACTGTATGTCAACCCTTTGTATAGGACACTGGAAATGCAGAAGACTGGCAAGTCTGTGCTTTAAAAGTGCAATCTGTAACAACTAGTGGAATATTTGGTTTTTTTTTTGTTCCGTGGGATGGGTGGGGGGAATACTGTAATGCTGCATGAGAAGAAAATGGTTAAGTACAAGTCATACATGTCACTTCTGCAGTAAAATTTACAGGGAAAACCACTCATTTTATTTTACATCTTCCTAATCAGAAAAGCTTGTTCAATATTTTGCCTAATATAAAATGTAGTCAGTTTTTACAAAGTCAGTGCATATTTCTGGTACAGTACTTAAGCCTCCAAGTACTTTATTTCTTGTATCCCTACCATATCTATAACATTACCCATTTATACAGAAATTTGAGATAGTACTAGAAATACACAAATGTATAAATATTTTATAGAGCAAAACATGAAAGATACCGTTTGGGTATGTTGCCTTCCACTGCACAGAGCATAGGCTGGGAAAATCAGCTTGGACTGATTAATTCATTCAGTAGAATGAGAACATTTTCTGTATTGCCTCAGAATGTATGAGAACTGCATTGCAAATCTAGCAAAGGGCATGTGGCTTGAGGAGCAAGAAGTAGCCATTTGCCATGGGATAGTTCCTCAGCCTTCAGGCAGGATAGCAAGAAGGGATTCTGCAAGTACATGAACAGCAAATGGGCCTGCTGTCAGATGGGGCAGGGAAACTGGTGACAAATGACATGGAGAAGGCTGAGATACTCTGTGCCTTTTTTGAGTCAGTCTCTACCAGTAAACAAGCCTTCAGGAATTCCAGGCCCTTGAGACCAGAGGGGAGGTCTGGAACCTCAGTGGTGGAGGACTAGATTAGGGTGCACTTAAACTGGAAGTCTATGAGCCTGACAGGTTGCACCCCTAAGTGCTGAGGGAGCTGGCTAATGCCATTGCAAGGCCACTGTTAATCGTTTGAATGGTCGCGGAGATTGGGAGATGTTCCAGTAGGCTGGAAAAGAGCAAATACCACTCCTATCTTAAGAAAATCAAGAAGGAGGATTTGGGGAGCTACGGGCCAGCTTCACCTCAATCCTTGGGAAAGTAATGGAGAAAATCCTCCTGGAAAACATTTCCAAACACATGAAAGACAAGAATGTGATCAGTAGTAGTCAGCATAGATTTACAAAGATGAAATCGTGCTGGACCAACCTCATTGCCCTCTCCAGTGAGATGACTGGTTTGGTGGATGGCAGGAGAATGGTCCATGTTGTTTACCTTGACTTCAGTAGACAGACTGACAAAGTATGGGTTAGGTAAGTGGAAAGGGAGGTGAATTAAAAACTAGCCAAATGAGTGAGCACAGAAGGGTGTCATCAGTAGCACAAAGTCCAGTTGGAGGCAAGTCAGTAGTAGTGTACCCTAGGGCTGAATACTGGGGCAAATACTATTCGGTATCTTCATTGATGACCTGAATTATGGGCTGGAGTGCATCCTCAGTAACTTTGTGAATCGTGCAAAACCAGGAAGAGTGGCTGGTAACACCAGATGATGTACCTCCTCTCAAAGGAACCTCAGTGGGCTGGAGAACTGGACAGAGGATTCTCAGGAAGCTCAGCAAGAGGGAATGCGAAATCTTGCTCCCTGAGGAACAACCCGAGGCAGTAGTACACCCTGGGAACAAACTGCCTGGAAAGCGGCTTTGCTGAGAAAGACCTTAGGGTCCTGGTGGATAACAAATTGACCATGAGCTAGCAATGCACCCTTGTGGCAACAAAAGCCAAAGCCTGCTTTGCTAGCAGGCTAAGGGAGGTCATCATTCCTCTTTGCTGTCAGCACTGATGAGGATGCATCTGGAGTACTGTATCTAGTTCTGCACTCCCTAGTACAAGAAAGATACAAACTGACTGGAGTGGGTCTATGACAGGGCTGGATCTCTTCAGCCTGGGGAAGAAAAGGTTTGGGAGGATCTTACCACTGCGTATAAATACCTGATGAGGAGACCCTGAGTCTTCTGAGTAACTCTGTGAGAGGACTAAGAGGTAGTAGACGCAAGCTAAAACACAGGGGTTTCCATCTGAACATGAGGAAACACTTTTTTACTGTGAGGGTGGCCAAACATTGGCACAGTTTGCCCAGAAAAGTTGAGAAGTCACCATCCCTGGAGATACCCAAAACCCAGCTGGACGTGGCCCTGGGCAGCCTGCTGTAGCTGACCATGCTTGAGCAGGGTTGTTGGACTACACGATCCCAAGAGGTTCCTTCCAACCTGAATGAATCTGTGAACTTGAACTTAGCACTTTTCACTGAGCAGTGCTGCAGGCCATGTTCTGCAAATGAGGCTTAGCCCAAAGATGAGTGGTACTGATGTGACAGCTTAAATCCCTAGGGAGCAGGTCTGTGCTTGAGTGGAAAGACACACCAAGAACACTTAAAGCAAGCAGCTGGCTAGTGCAGGGATTTAAAGATCATGCCAGTCTCAAGTATACATTATTTTCAAATGCTGAACTTCACTCCCATGAAGAAGAAGGAAGAGCCCAAGTCCCAGCTAAAAGAAAGTTTGCTGAAGATACAAAGTGGGATAGGGGTTGCCCATAAACTTTCCTGTGCTTGTTGAGTCTTTTGAACACAAATATGAGTTACTTGTCTTTAAAGTTAAAAGGTAAATAGGGAAATGGAGAGCCCTGTAACAGTCTAGTTTTATAATACAGTAATAGGGCTGGTTCCCTTGATTGCAGCATGATTCTGGTGAAGGAAATGCCTTGCAGGCGTGCTTTATTACTTGAGTTTAAACCCATAATACAGTGCTTTAATAACACTTTCTAAGGTTTGTTTTGTTCTTTTTTAATTCATAAGAAAATATGTGAGATTTGCTGTCAGCCTTTCGCCTGTGGAAATTTAGTAGTTACCTGCTGTGTTAGGTACCTTAAGAAATAGCAGTATTATCTTCATATATGTGATTTTTCTGCAGGAAAGTAAATCATATGGAAGTTGGGATTTAATTTATGATAACTTTTTAATGAGCACAAGAAGAATCCCATTTTTGTTACTCAAAGGAATAGAGCTTCTAGGAGATACTGTTCAAGTCAGTTTTTCAACTGCAGTTGTAGTTCTGTGTCTACAAGGAGCTAAACAATTGCTAGAGCGGTATCACAAAGGGAGAAAAAATTGCTGCTTAGTGCTTATGCATATTGTTAACACTATATATTGTTTGTTCAAAAACTTCCCATTTCAGTATATTCCGTATTGCATTTCTTATGTGGTTTTTAAGTAAAAAAAAAAAGTGTAAAGTTGGTTTTTAAAACTCTTTTGTTATGATGGCAGATGCTATAAGCTACACAACTTTAAAAGCATATCATCCTAAAATACCTGTTTGTCAGTTTAAAAGCTAATGAATTGAGCATTTTGTAATCCAAGATCTTGTAACCATAGTCCAACTTGTAAAAACCAAAAAATTACAGCAACTAGGACTATTTTTTGTAACCATCTTCAGGTAAGAAGAGTAGTATGAAATTGAGGAATTGCAGTATCTTGTGTATTTAGAGGTGTATATATATGTATGTATAGCAAACTAAACTTTTCCAACTGTTTCCATGCTCAAAATACAGAACTAAAGGACTGGTATGAAATGCTTGTATATTGCTTGTATTTCTTTTCTTTACAGAAGGGTATCAAAGTATGTTTCAGAAAATAACATGTGGAATAACCTCAAAATATGAGAGGAAGCATTAACTTCCATCTAATCCAGGGTTCACAAAATTTAATATTTTTGTAATCAAAAGTTGTGCTTAAAAGCTACATTTTAAAAATCACTTATTTAATAAAGGTTGCTTGGGAGAAGGAGGCGAATACTCAGTTACCTACTAAATCTCTAACTACTGAAAATCATGGAAATAAAGTGGACATTAATGAAGCTGGGATGAGAAGGATATTTTCATCTGGGGGTTATATAGGTGCCATAGAAAGTAAGTCATTTGGTTGCTCTGGAGGAGTTCATTCAACAAGTCTATGAAAACTTCTAAAGAGCCTTTTTTAATCTGCACAACATCAGGCTTTAGGATAACCTTGAGCTGTTGGAAGGGTAGAGCAAGATACATTACAACTGTTTCTCCTTTCTGCCGTGCAGTGGTACTCTGCTCCAGAGCCAGTTTTCTGATGGCAGGAGGATATTGGCATTCCACTCTTCTGCTGAGCCTTTTTTTTGTATTTTCTATGCTGAAAACTTGCTGAAGCCTATTTATGGTGTCTTTAACAGATGTTGTGGGTTTTGGTTGGCTTTCAGTCCCAACATGCCTATTTTGTTAGGGAAGTAACAAACTGTAACTGTGGTTGGGTCTCTAATGTTGTCCTTACCAGCTTCATCTTGTGACTGTGTGTACTCATTTCCATTTGCCTTTCATATGGTGAAAGCTTTCTCTTCAGTTGTATGTCCTCTTCTAGTATTCACCCCTACTTTCAATATGGCCTTTAGACCAAACCTCTCAAACAGTGCTGAAGATGAGAAATATGTATTACGATGATCAGCCAAATGAGATTCAGCGTTCTGGTTCTCAGATGTAATAGTTCTAGGATTTTTAGTAAATGCTCAAAGCAGTATCCATGTCTGATTCTCAAGAATCCAAGCAGAGGGAGGAGATATCCATCAGATTGATGCAAAGTGCAATAAATTAATCAAGCTTTTGCACCATTTATACCCTCAATGATAGAGCCAAAGCATGGATGAAGAACAGGTCTATAACTGGCTTGGTTTTAAAGACCCTGGTTGAGCTGTGCACAGGTATCAGTGTGCTATGAAATTCTTGACCTTCCTCTTCTAGGAGCTGTATATCTTGGATGCTGCTGAGCTGAAAGAGTGAAGTCTGTAGCCTTTCTAAGGGCTTTGCTCTGTTCATGGACAACTGACCAGTTTTAAATAGTGCTAGGCTGGTTAATCACAATGTTTCTCATCCTGTCGTGGCAGGCTGTGTTATTTCACTGCTTTAGGCACTTTGGTACTTGATGAAACCTGTGTGTCTGGCTGACAGGATTATCCAGTAGCAAGTACTTCATACATAGGGGTTTGAGAGAATGTGTGTGACTGAAATGTTATCTGTAGTATCAGATGGCACAGAGAGTGGAATGCAAAATGGAAGGGTAAGACACTAAACTCAGTGGTTGTG